ACTAAACATGATTTTTGGACTCTAAAATCCTCATATAATACATATATTACTTACTACTTCGAATTTTGGCCGAAAAAAGCACAAATGTTGACGGAAAAAGATAAATTTTCGGCCGGACAAATTTGACGTCAGAATCACTTGTTTTACCGGATTTGTTGCTGTCGGAATTCTTCTCACCGAATTTGGTGTCGCCGGAAAGACAAACCTAAAAAAAATAAATATAAATTAGTCGCTTCTCCATGAAGGAGTGTGGTGTGTGGAAGAAGATTGAACAAAAATGAATAAAAGTAATGGTAGGTGTCCGATAAAACTAATAAAATAATATGTTATGTTGGTTGCAATGGGATGATGTAATAAGTTATTTCATTTTTTATTTATTTTAAAACTTGGGAGTTAAGTGGAAGAAGTTTATGGGGTAGGGAGTGTAGAGCAAAAAAATTAGAGTGAGGATTGAAGAAGAAGTTGAAAAGTGGTTTAGAGATTTTTAAGGAAGTTCCCTTAAAAATAAAGATCAAGAGAAGTCAGAAGACAGTGAAAAACCAAAAGAAGAGAAAAAAAAAAATGAATACATTTAAGACCACCTAGAGGCATAACTTAAGCAGAGCGACACAAATGAAGAAGTGAACCACAGCCATACAATGTGGGAGAGGAGAGGCTAAGCTACATCCAAAATCTAATCCGCTCTCTTTCTCCACCCCACAAAATGTACCAAGGCCATAACCTTACCAATATCACCCCATTTAATCATTTTCCTCCATTTTTGCTAAATCCCAAGAGCCAAACAACCACAAAAAAATCAAACAGCTTCTTACTTATCAACTCCTCCAGCCTCTGCTTAAGCTGCTGCACTGTGTAGCTTGATTTCTGCTCATACAAGAATGGCTTCTGCTGCTCTTTCATCTCCCCAGGTTCATAATCCATAGTTCCAGCAGTAGATATCTCTTTCCACACTCACATCACATGGATAAACTAAACACATATTTACATGCTATAATTTGTTGTCAACTAGGTGGGCTGCAGCAAGGGGTTGTTTGAGTTTTCTGGGCTCCGCAGCTCGTCATCGCTTCTCCCTTTCTCTAGGAAATCGAACGAGGACTTCCTTTCCGTTGTTGCCTTCCAAACTTGTGCTGTGAGTTTTTCTGGACTTATATGTGTCCGTTTGGCTACTCCTAGATACACTAATATATTAATATTGTGAAAATATGGTAATTATTAAGATGGCTTGCGTGATCTGTTTTGAAGCCGAGCTATTGCAAGTTAAGAATTATGATGGTTTTAAGCTGAAGAGAAGCTTATGATCAGGTTGTAGTGGAAATTGCAACAACAGAATGTGTTGGATTATGCTTGTTTTAGTAGGTAGGTAGTTAGTAGGGAAGTGGGGGGAGGGGAATGTAATTGACATGTAATGAGCATTACAGGGATTTAGTTGGTGGTTTTATTATATATACAGATTGGTGGGAAGAGAAAGCAGAGAGGTGGGGTAAAGGCAGAGCTGAAGGTGGCGATCAATGGGTTTGGAAGGATTGGTCGCAACTTCCTGCGGTGCTGGCATGGGCGCAAGGGCTCCCCACTGGACGTAATTGCCATCAACGACACAGGAGGTGTGAAGCAGGCGTCTCACCTTCTCAAATACGATTCCACCCTTGGAATCTTTGAAGCGGACGTGAAGCCCGTTGGCACTGACGGCATCTCTGTCGACGGCAAGCTCATCCAGGTCGTCTCCGACCGCAACCCGGCAAACCTCCCGTGGAAGGAGTTGGGCATTGATCTGGTGATCGAGGGAACTGGGGTTTTTGTTGACAGAGATGGTGCAGGGAAGCACATTGAAGCCGGGGCCAAGAAGGTTCTCATCACAGCCCCGGGGAAAGGTGACATCCCCACGTATGTCGTGGGCGTCAATGCGGATGATTACAACCCAGACGAGCCCATCATCAGCAACGCTTCTTGCACCACAAACTGCCTCGCCCCTTTCGTGAAGGTCCTCGACCAAAAATTCGGCATCATCAAAGGGACGATGACGACAACCCACTCGTACACCGGGGACCAAAGGCTCCTGGATGCCAGCCACCGCGACCTGCGCCGTGCTCGCGCTGCCGCTCTCAATATCGTGCCCACGTCCACAGGGGCGGCAAAAGCAGTGGCCCTCGTCCTCCCACAGCTCAAGGGCAAGCTCAACGGCATTGCCCTCCGCGTCCCAACCCCCAACGTCTCTGTCGTCGACCTCGTAGTCCAGGTTCAGAACAAGACCTTCGCAGAGGAGGTCAATGCTGCCTTTCGCGAGGCCGCCCAGAAGGAGCTCGCTGGAATCCTCTCCGTGTGCGACGAGCCCCTCGTCTCTGTCGACTTTCGCTGCAGCGATGTATCGTCCACGGTTGACTCCTCCTTGACCATGGTCATGGGGGATGACATGGTCAAGGTCATTGCCTGGTATGATAACGAGTGGGGATACTCACAGAGGGTGGTTGATCTGGCCGACATTGTTGCCAACAATTGGAAATGAGGATTATGACTTATGAGAGGATATATGCTCGCCTGCCTTTTTACTTATTTATTTTTCCTTTCTTTGCGAATTGTAATCACAACTAAAACCACTTGTCACCTTTTGCTTATCTTTATCTGCACACGTGTCTATTAACCTTTTATTATTATTATTATTATATTATACTTAATATTTAGAAATTAAAGGTTCGTATTAAATAATGTTATAAATTAAAAACTAAAACATAAATGATTTTTTGTAGCGCCATCTAATGTATCATTTTACAATAGGTAACATTTTTGGTAGTTTTTTGTAACACTTATATTTGTAAAGTGTTACTAAAAGTATTACCTATTTGTAAATTGATACATTAGATGGCGCTACAAAAAGGCATATATAAAATCAATATGTAATACTGATAATAATTTACTAGTGTGTACCTCGTGCAATGCACAGAAATAATATTAAATTAGTAATATTATCAATAAACTTCAAGTTTGAGACACTCAATGGAAGTTCATAAAGAGATATTATTAATTCGACCCTAAATCAATTTTGAGGTTGACTCGGTACCTAATAGGAGGCATGTCAACAAAATCGACCCGAAGAAAACTCCTCGATAGATAGAGAGGAACTCGTGAAGAATCAACGAGCAGTTAGATTAGTGGGACGTGAGGGGCGACGGTTTCCGAGATAGGCGGAACGTGGCCCTAGGAGTTCAGAGGGAGGTAATCTCCGTTGAGGGATAAAAGCAAGGAAAAGGGAAAAAGGAGGTAAGTTTTTCATGAGTATCAATAGTATCCCTTCTTTAAATTACGTCTTCAGATCGATATCCTTGAAGTTTCTAACTTGACCGTCGGAGGGCCGAGCCGGAGATTTTTCCCCTCCGGTCTAGGCTTCTTTGCAGGGATTGAAGACGATCGACCGTTACCAAGAATGTGAATTCAGGAGGTTTAATCAATCTGAGGTATTCTTATCATACCATTTTGGCGCCGTCTGTGGGAACTCTGAATAAGAAGCTTTTTCTTTACAATATCTGAAGCTATGACGAACGGGATTCCGAGGAAAAACTTGCAGTCATCATTTGATGATGCATGGACATAAACGAGGCCGATAGGGGAAGGTCCACCACCAGGATTTTTCGGAACATCACAAACACCGGGGAGTCGTCCAACCATAACCCAAGGTGGAGGAGATCCGGCAACCATAACCCAAGGTGGAGGAGATCCGACAACCGTAGCTCAGGGTGGAGGATATCCGGCGGTAGTAACCCAGGACGGAGGACAGCCGGTGATACCTCCAGCAAATAGAGAGCAGGACAGGGTGGTTGAACCACCATCTCAAGCAAATCGGGTAATAGCGCAAAATGAAGGAGCTAGAGCCCAACCTGAACCACCATTGATGGCGGATCGACCTTCAGAACAACAAGTAGTGACTCTGACCAGAGAGCAGCTAGAACAGATGATAGCCAATGCTACGGCTCGAGCAGTGCGGCAGGTAATAGCTAGTCAATCTCAAGCAACAGCTGCACCAACGTCGATGAGTGAAGCCAACAAGGAGAATGCATCTAGCCGTAGAGAAGCACCTCATCACGGAGGAGAAATTGGTCGAACAAGTGAGGCAATTACAGGAGAGGGTCGATGGCCGGCCATCTGGTCGAGTTAGGGGACATCCCTTTGTTGGAACCCATGAGGATCTCGATATGCACAAATCACAGACAAACATTCAACATAAAACTATGCGCAGCGGATCTAAAGGTTTGATGAAGAAAACTTACTACTTAAAATTTATGTAGATCTGGCTGGCCCGAACAGATGACCGCAAATCAAATCTTCTCGGAATCGAACAAACTTGACCAATCCGGAAAGCTGACGTCACGGCGAAGTCAACGGCGTTGACCAGTTGGAAAACGGACCTTCCACGCGCTCTCACGCGTGCGATTGAACTTCAGCAACTGGGACCTTCCGGCGGCGCGTGTGGGCGCGTGCGGCGGCGATCTCGACGGCGATCTCTTCGTCTCGTCGTACTGGTCGTCGTGGTATGGTCACTTGCTGGTTTTGGTCTCCGGTTTGGATGTATGATTGGAATCTCTATATACCTTAAGATCTTCTACTGTATTCTCAAACAGCTTTCTAGATCTTGTATCAGTGGAACACAAGAAATAGAAGAACTCCTTGGAAGAGAGAGACAGAGGGCTGGACGTGTTTCCCAAGGTGTGGGATTGTTCTATTCTCTTCCATGAGCCTAATGCTGTATATATAGAGCTACAGTAGGGATCCTA